ATATCGCTCGGAATGCTCCATCGTGGCTTCATCACTTACTCGCTTTGGAGGCAGTGTAAGAAAGGGTTTGTAAGCTCCTCCTCTTTTCCCTCTTTGATGGTGTCTTCTGACATCTTATTTCTTTGTCTTTTTTATGTCTTTTGTATCATTTTTTCGTTTCGACGAACCTTGTACTCTCTTAGTGTTATAAAAAAAAAAAGAGTGAAATAGAAAAATGTACAAATTTTTAAATATATGAAAAAAACTCAATTGAGAGTGAAATAGAAAACGTACAAATTTTTAAATATGTGAAGAAAGTTAATTATGATTGAAATAGAAAATGTACATTTTTTTTAAATATATGAAAACACTTAATTAAGAGAAATAAAAATGTAAAAATGTTTAAATATATGAAAAAACTCAATTGAGAGTGAAATAGAAAATGTAAAAATTTTTAAATATAAGAAAAAACTTAATTCAGAGTGAAATAGAAAATGTACAAAAATTTAAATATAAGAAAAAAGTTAATTAAGAGTGAAATAGAAAATGTACAAATCTTAAATATATGAAAAAACTTAATTAGGAGTGAAATGGAAAAAGTAAAAATTATAAAATATATGAAAAATCCTGAACCATAATTTATAAAAATAGAGTACCTTTTATTTGATTTTAAACCAGATAACGATGATGCGGCCCTGCTGCGCCTGCGTCTCTCTGTTAAAACAATATCAAAGAGGAAAGAAGATGTTGAGAGAGAACTAGGGTTTCCGACCATGAGTCTCCATCTTTGCAACAACGTTATTCCTTTGGATCTGCTGTTCGAGATTCTTAGCCTTCTGCCTTCAAAATCCCTAGCTAGGTTTATGGCCGTATCTAAATCATGGCAAGAAATCATCAGCAGCAAGAGTTTCATCAGATCACGATCCTTGACTCATCCTTTGCGTTTCCTACTCGCTTTACACGATACAGATGACCAAACTGGACGCCTAAGTTGCAGCTTCTTCTCTTCTTCTTCGCTATTGTTGTCATCAACATCGATACCAACCAATTTTCTATCCAGAATAATTCTTCCTCTCCGTAAACCCTCTGACCCTACCTATTACGTTAATGGTTTGCTGAACATTGGAGAGATCATATGTAACCCTTGCACCGGGGAGACCGTATATTTACCAGAGCTTGTCGACAGAACAACAAGGTCTACTCCAAGGCTAGACGAGCGCTTTTTCGGATATGATCCTGTCAATAATCAGTACAAAGAATTGTGCATCACACGTTATATCAATATTGCAGAACACAAAACGACGAATTATTATCAGGTATTCACATTGGGAGCTGAACCTAAAACATGGAGATTTATCGATTGTGGCATTCGTCACAGACCTTGGTCTAACGGTCTGTGTATTGATGGGTTTGTGTACTACATTGCCAGCCTGGACAAAGGAATGTGTCTGATGAGATTCGATTTGAACTCTGAGAGGTTTGATGTCTTTGCTAGATTATCTGAGAAAATGGATACTTTGTTTTTTCTTGACGAAGGTTCAAAAACTTTGATAAATTACCATGGCAAAGTAGCCATTGCCATTCGACGTTTTCAAGTGCCTTCAGTTGAGTTGTTTGTTGTCAAAGCAGGAAAACAGGAATACAAAGTAAAGTCTTTTGATAATCTTCCCCAGCTTCACTTACCTATAAAAGGTGTTACTAATAATCATATGAGTGACATGATTTTTGCACCAATCGATTCCAGAGGTGAGGTTAACGTTATCCACCACGATCTCCTTGGAGCTAGTTTTACGAAGATGACGTTTGAAGTTGACGCAAAGAGTGAATGGGAAATTGGGTCAAATTATTTCATGGGTTACGTAGAGTCTTATGCTGCTGTAAGCTAGAGAGAGTTGTTATTATGTTCTTCGTTTGCTATGGGATGTAATTGCCATTTACAGTTGATGTCTCTTGTTTAAACATGTTATTCTCTTTTGGTTGCATTCAATGGCTTGTCCAGCCCACTAAAGCATATTTCGATGTCAGATTATGCAATAGTTCGTTGAAGACTGAGTATGTCTGGAGACTTGTGAACATGTATACAAAATAAAAAAACCTTAGTGAAACAGAAACTTCTCAAAACAAATTTCATATTTGCTCTCTTTGGTGGCCGGTGGACTTTCTGTCTCCGGTCACCACTCCCTTTCTCTTTTACTCCACTTTGATAAACTTGTTTCTCTGGATCTCCACTGGGTCTCTACGGTATATTGCCTGCGGTTCAAACTTCTTATGCTGAGCCACATACAATTGATTTCTTCATTTTCGAAGCAGGGAAACATGATTCAAAGAGAAGTCTTCTGATAATCTTCCCCAGTTTCATTTGCGTATGAAAAGTGTTATTAATCATGCGGGTGATGACATTATATTTGTACCTTACTGTTCCAGAAGTGAGGCTATTGCTATCCATCACGATCTCAAGGGAGCTAGTTTTAAGAAGATGAAGTTTGAAGTTGACGTTAAGGAAGATTGGTTTAATGACTCAAATTGTTTTGTGGGTTACGTAGAGAGACTTATGCTAATGTAAGTTAGAGAGTCTTCTTTTGATGTGGGATGTTTCCAGTACAGTTCATGTCTCTAATCTCAACATGTTTGTTCTCTCCTGGTCGCATTCAGTCTTTCCTCTTTTTAAATGTCTATTTATATATGTTTTTTTTTTTGCATTGTAAAATGTACAGTAGATTTGTCTGGAGATGGACGCCACGTTAATCAATTGACAACAAAGAGTTCACGTTGAAGCTTCCTTTTTTCTGAACACTGAAAGAGTATATTATATATATAAACAGATTTGATAAAGTTTTGGATGTTGTTGTTGTTCTAAACATTTGAGTGATATTCTTTCGCAATAGCTTGTTTGTTGATGTTCAAAAAAAATAAAAAAAAGAATAAGCTGTTGCGAGGACGGTAGCGAGAGGTTATTAGCAAAAAACTTACTACTTTCTAATTGTATTTAGGGAAATTGCATAGTATGAAGTAAAATAAAATTATAATTCACTCTGTGACTATTTACCCTAAATCTCACCGATACATGTTATATTATATGTAATACTAGGGTCAGTCTGCCCTACGGACGGGATATATTATATTTATGTTTTAGGTTATTATTTTTTATATAATTTTATGGTCGGTGTTTTAGGTTTACATTTGCAAAAAGTGTGTATGAGATATACTATTTTATCAATTTAAATTGTTGGTTAGTTTGTTTGTAAGTAATTTTTATTTTTATTTTTTTCCTTTTATGACATCAACATGATTGAATTATTATTCCATTCTTAGTCGAATAACTTGCATCTTTTTTTTTTTTGAATCTATTGCGAAAGAATATCACTCAAATGTTTAGAACAACAACAACATCCAAAACTTTATCAAATCTGTTTATATATATAATATACTCTTTCAGTGTTCAGAAAAAAGGAAGCTTCAACGTGAACTCTTTGTTGTCAATTGATTAACGTGGCGTCCATCTCCAGACAAATCTACTGTACATTTTACAATGCAAAAAAAAAAAAACATATATAAATAGACATTTAAAAAGAGGGTCAGCCCGCTCTACGGACGGGATATATTATACTTATGCTTTAGGTTATTATTTTTTATATAATTTTATGGTCGGTGTTATATTAGATGTAATACTAGGGTCAGCCCGCCCTACGGACGGGATATATTATACGTATGCTTTAGGTTATTATTTTTTATATAATTTTATGGTCGGTGTTTTAGGTTTACATTTTCAAAAAGTGTGTATGAGATATACTATTTTATCAATTTAAGTTGTTGGTTAGTTTGTTTGTAAGTAATTTTTATTTTTATTTTTTTCCTTTTATGACATCAACATGATTGAATTATTATTCCATTCTTAGTCGAATAACTTGCATCTAATAATTACTGTATATGACTCTTTCTGAGGTTCTTGTCAGTGACTAAGGGCTTTGCATAATTTTCTGAAAATAAAATTTTAATTTTGATGAGATAGTGGCAATTCAAAACATTAGTTATCCCATTACAGTGGAAATGTGGGTTCGAATTCCTGGTGTTCATCGGTCTTATCTTTAAGTTTATTGTTAGGGGATATTTAGCTTTGGTAAAATAAGTGATATTGTTTGTTAGGAACAAATATTAATATTTCTGAACCATTATATTTCTTGCTTGATCTTAATTCTTAAACATATGATTTCAAAATCCCGGGAAAGAAATTTATAATTATTTCTATGTTCCATTCGAGATCAGCTACCAATATTTCTTTCACACATGACTTAACTTACTGAGATCTCGTTATTATCTGAGGTACATGATTTCTTTCAGTCAGGTTTAACATCTTTTCTAGAGATTATTCATAAATTATATTTCCTCTTGACCATTTTTAATTTATGATCATTTTCATTTATGAGGAATATTATCTTTAAAACCAAGATGTATACAAAGCTTCAGACATGTCTGGCAGTTTGATATTGTTCTTCTAGAATATCAATTATTTTGGAGCATTAACAGCTGGTATATGTGACTTGATCATTCTATTTATATGGGTCAGTAAATGTGTCTGACACCTGTTTTACTTAGCTTTGTAATTGAATTATCTTTTGGACTTCTGTTTTACATTCTTTTAAGTCCGAGGGTCAATGATAATTCATATTAACTTATTTTATTTTTCAGCTGTTTATTTTTCTTCCCCTTATGTTGAAAATACTAATTCATTTTTAGTATCCATGTCGAATCTTACATATATCCTTCAGGGATGGCTCATGCTTCTTGAGTATCAATGGAGACTCATATCCAACATATATTTCCAACCTCATTTGAAAACTCATCTTAATTAAAGCTCGATGGTGGAGCAACTAGAATGTATATTGCACATTCAACATTCATAGATGGAAAATGGTAGGTTTCTGACCCAATACCTATGACGGGAGAACTAGTGATTACTTATTGGTTTGATGCGAACTAGTGCTACTCAAAATGTTTATCACTTATCACAGTCAATTTGCTATAGTCATTAAAGACTTTATGACGTGAATTCACCAATATTATAAAGATTCATGGTGGGTGATCAGTCCACCAACATCTCTTTATTTATGCCAATAATTTTCTTTGGCTGATGAAAATCACATTGCCATTTTATCTTGTGAAGAAGCAACATATGTCAAATCGTTCGGAATAATCTTCTGGTAAATTTTAGATGCAAAAATCCATAACGAACTTTAAAAAATCACATTTTGGTGATTATATTTTTCTTTGGATTTTTCTTTTTGGATCTTTTAGGGTCAAACCTTTAACTTAAAACTCTTACATATACAATGGTAAAGAAATATAATAATAAAACGTTTTCAAATTATAGAGATACATATCATCATAAACATTTTATTATAGTAGGAAATAAATAACACTCCGATAATAATTATTATATGTCTTAGTTTCCTATTTACATGCTATTAAATTAAATATTATAACAAGGTTTTTATTTATTAATCAATTTACTAAATAAATTTTATGTTACATGTACTAACTTTCATGAAAATTATTTTACATGATAAAATTTAATTAACCTTGTTTATAAAGTACAAAAAATAAAAATACTTATTTTGATTAGGAGACTGCAGCGAATGAGAATGATAGTATTGTTTGCACTCCTAAAATATGATCTTGAGTTCAACGACGAGCAGATGGGCTTTAATTTAGTCAAACCTTCATGGTTCCATCACGGTAATGCTGGAATTAGAAGTTTTTGTATTAACTTAAAGCATGACTCTGTCTTAGAAGCCCTCGTCAAACTCCTCTCTATGTTTATTGTTGTGGATGTGGCCATCTTCTCAGTACTGGATTCACCTAGTCCATGTGTTTACGTCAATGCCGTTCTTATCCGACGTCCGATAGTTTCATCTATATTGTGCTCTTCAACATCATATACATATATGGAATCGGAGTATAGGGGTCACATAGCCCACAGCCATGATGTTGTGCTTAATTTAAGGTTACTATTTGTCCAACCATCACAGGTTTCTTTAATCTCTTCGGAGAACTCGTCGGAGCTAGAGCTGTTCTTGCTCGTTCCGCATCATTCCAAGCTTTGCAGTTTGGTTTAATCAACGTCGATTGCGACTATTCCATGCTCGTGGTAACCTATTCAGGGATAGGTCTGAAGATCTCCCATGGTTCTCCGCTTGTCGAGCAAGCATATCTCGTTAACTTTGTTTATCTATTGTTCTGCTACTGTGTTCTGCTTTATGTTGTTCATCAAACCGTTGAGGATTCCTCCGTTTATTATCCTTTTATCTTTGAGCATAGTTCTGGATGTAATCGCTTAAACTCTTTCTAGATTAATACAATCTTTTGTGTGACAAAAAAAAAGATTAAAACAAATCTCATCAACACTCTTTAAAACTGATGAAACTGTATATGTTCATGAATGAATGAGAATCTATTCAATATTGAATTAACTAACTAAATATAGATTGGCTCTTATACAATAAAAAAAATATTTATCGTATTATTATTTAATTTTTGTCATGTGCTAATTGAAGTAATGAAAATGCAAAGTATTACCACTAGAGATGAAAAAATTTAATACAATAATAAAAATATTTAAAATTTGTGTTTTTATCTTAAAAGTAGCATTGGTTTTTAATTGGTTGTCAAAATGAGGATGTGACTTTTTTGCTTATATGTCTTTTCATTTTAAAAGTTGCATAGATTTTTAAGAGTTATCTTGTCATCTAAAGTTGTGTCTTTTCATTCTAAAAATTGCAATATATTTTTAATAGATTATTAGAAATGTCTAAAAAGGCACCTATTCATTTTAAAACGCAATATGTTTAAATAAGTTCTTTTCTCTTAATTTCCTATCCTTTTTATGTACATTTTAAAGAATCTTAAAATTTGTCTTAAGAATGTTATGGCAATTCGGTTTGTTGGGTACTCTACTCATTTTATGATATTATATGTAAAAAAATTAAGTATATAGTTTTTAAATTATATTTTATGATTTATAATCATTTTGGTCCAGATTTTTTTTGTTTTATTCAATTTTGTTAATTCATATTTCAGATAAATTGTCAGAGTCTATTTATATTATTTTATCTATTAATATATAAGTATTAATAAAATGGAAACCATAATTTTGTTTTTATTTATGCACATTTGTTATTTATGAACGGTCTGATATATGTGTTATTTATTAATTAAATCTCTAGCAACAGTTAAATAATAAATGATTATTGGAGATTTAAGTGAATCTTTTATACCATTTAACTGAACTATTACAATTGTCTAGATAAAAAATTTCAACTCATAAAATAGAAATAGCTATTTGTTTGTAACCGACCATTACAATTTTTGGTGATGAATTGGTGTTAGTCTAGGTTGCCTGGAAACTCTGGTCAAGTTCTATTTCTTGTTTCAGAATCGTTTCGGAATCTGAAGCTCTTGGAAACTTGAGGAAACTCTTTGAAAACACATTTTTTGAAAATTACATTTTGGAAATACGATGGAAATTTAGGTTTCTGATTTGGAAACTCACGATTCTGATTAAAAACGCGAAAGAATATTTATTTTTCATTTGATGTTAGTGATTACATATTTATTAACTTATATTTTAATATTATCTTTTCATATTTGTTATCATTTCGGTATAATGATTTGTTCTGGAATGAAATTGGTTCCATAGTTGTATTGAATGATAATATGTGTTAGTTTTCTAATTATTGATTAGAATTTTTATAAAATATAGCAAAAAATAACACTTATATTACTTAATTTTCTCTCTTAGATAAATCAAAGAAAATAAATTAAGCTTACATATTAATTAATCATATATATATGATAGATGTTTCTAAAGCGTTTCCATTTCTATTATTTTTGAAAATCATGTTTCCACGTTTCGAAATATTTTGTTTCCACGTATCTATTTTCCTTTCCTTGCAACCTACTTTTAACCATTATTATAACTCTTTGTTAACCTTTTGAATGTGTGAAATGATGTGTCTTTTTATCCTAAATATTTCATGAATTTTTAAGAGATTGTTAAAATATATAAGGAAGTATATTTTTATAAAAATGTGTCATTTCATGTTAAAATTCCATTGAATTTTAAAATATTGTACAAAATTTATACGAATTTGTGTTTTATCCTTTTTTTATATAGATTTTAGTAGTTATCTTTTGTCTAAAGATGTGTTTTATTTTATTTTATAAAATTCATACATTTTAAAATGATTCTCAAAATGTCTGAGGATATATTTTTGTATCCTAAAGTTTGCATAAGATTTTAGTGAGTTATTTTTAGTTCATTTTTATATCCAGTTTATATACATTTCAAAGAATATTAACATCGTCTACATATATTTGCTTATATGAGTTAATTATTTTATGATACTATATATTTATAAATCATTACAACTATTGGTGATCGTAAGCTTTGCATGGTGATGAACTATTGCAACTATAGTAAACCCTTAAAGTTAATGGTAATTGTAGACTTTGATGATGAACCTTTCCAACTTTTGATTTTAACAATTATAATTCTTGACTAATTGGTTGTCAATCTCTAACTCTCTCAAAGGAGTTATAAAATTGACAAATCTAAATTATTAAAAGGGGAGTACAAATAAGAAATATCCATTAGTTTTTCTCAAAAATTATAATCTTATGCCACTATAAATAAAACATTGTGGTTTTGCTCTTTTTTTTCAAACAACCTACATTTAGGGTCTGACTGGTTACAACGCAGCGATTGCGGTTGCAGTTGCAGTTGTAGTTGCGGACGTTTGCAGATACGAGAGATTACGATTTTAAGTGTTAGTAAGAGATTTAGACGACTGATTCAATGATTAAAAAATGTTGCGTTTGCGGGATACTTATGATTGGCTTCTCATCAAATACAATAGCGGTTAAGTAATAAATTAACAATATTTATATTTTATATAATTATCAAAATATTAAAATCATATTTTCATGATAAATATAAAATTTTAAATTTTTTAAAAATTAAAGAAAATATTTTTTTTTGAAAACTTTATAATATAAATATTTCAGTATTACAATTATTTTAATTTAGAATTTTAATTAAATAATTTATTTTTATATTTATATAGTTTGGAAAAAAAAATTATCCTCTCGCAATCGCCCGTAACCGCAAACGCTAGTTGAAACCAACTTTTGAATTTTAGAGATTCAGAACGATTTGAAGCGGTTAATAGCGTTTTTGTGATTGTTGCAAAACACCAACAACCGCTACCAATCGCAAAAGCTGCATTTGCGGGTGATGGCGGAAGAACCATTCATGCTCTTAATATTCAATAAGCTGGTCCATTAAATAGAGTTAAAGCCTAATCCATATATATTCTGATGAAAACAAAGTTTGAGCATCTTTACTCTATTAAAAGGCACTATTCTTACTTTCTAACACTAGCCACGTGTGCATTTATATTTAGCCAATCAGAATCTGTCTTAGTGCCACGTCACTTTCTCCTTCTTGCGTATGGGCTTTATTTGGTCTGTTTGGGCTTAATACGTTTTTAGCAAACAATCAGAAAAGCCCACGTTTTTATTTGGTGTGTTTCGTTCTCTGTTGAACGAACCCTAATTCTACGCTTCTTTCATTTCACACCTGAAACTCCATCGGCCCCCTGCAACCTTTCGAGTCTCTCAGTTCCCATTGCTTCTCTTCCGTTTTGAGTCTTTAATCTCTTCTGTTATCAGCTTTATTGCTCCACTCCCTGATCTCATCAATCTTTTCCATTACTAATTCAATGGAATCCCTTCATCTCCCTTCTTTTTCCACTATTAATACATCTTCACTCCAAGTTACTTTATCGCTTAAGCTGAAACGAAACTCCACTCTATCTCTACTCTCTCTCAAATATTTGTCTCCATGGAACCCGGTAAGAAGATTGACTCCTCCTCCGCCATTGCTACGCCCGACTCTACGTCTTCTGCTTCCTCCGCCGTTGTCACGAAGCCTCACGGCAAGGGTGCTGTTTCGTCTCCAACATCGATGGCACCGGTTGAAGTCCCACTGATGCTCTTCAGAGATGTTTCTCTTGGCCCACATGAAGCAGCTCTGAGGTTTCGTCTGATCCACTTCTGGGAGGCTATCAATCCAAGGACGAAGAAACTGATTGGTCAGGAGATGCTTCTAATTGATGAAGAGGTATGTTTAGGACTTTTAGTATGTTAGAGTTTAAGTGATGAACCAAATATTTAACATAGATTTTTATTACAAGTTTTAACAGTATCAACACTGTTTTAATGATGAAAATCAGTACATATAGCTGGTCTTAAAATGTTAACTGACACAAGTTTTGTTTCAGGTCGGCTTCCTGAATTCAACCTCTGCAATTCATTTTTATTTTGATAATGAAAATTATGCAGGTTCAAAGTCATCTTGAGAGGTAATGACTTTGAGCACTATTTTCTACAACACGGAGAATACCTTAATAGTCCAACTCACTGAGCGGTTCTTATTTAGGACATGAGGCAGTGGCAAAAGCTAATTATATGTTCGATATGTAGGTTGCAACAATTTTTGCAGTGTGTAGAGAGACAGACTATTAGGATGAACTCCTTGGGAAGAAGTATGTGATACATAAGTTAGATGATCGTGATTTCACTCCCATATATGAGTGGAATTTGAGAGAGAAAGAGAAGAAGAAACAAACGAGCACAAAGGTAGTGAGAAATATTTTTTCCTGGCCATGGTTTTCTACTATGCACGAACTTCAGATAAAGAACCAATTTTGTCGGTCATGTGCAGTGAACGCAAAAAAGGTTTACGTCCATCTGCAATGTCTAGAGCCCACTTTCTGGACGTGCTCAACAACTCTCAAGACGGCACCAAAGCATCAATGAGACCCAGCTTCTGCCCTTCCTCTGACGTTATGGACTTGGAAAGCTACAAAAGGTTACAAAATTCTCAGCCAGATTATCGCATGCTTGGTAATATAACGGTTGGTAACTGCGTGAAACACCATTCATACCAGGTTTATATCAGTTGCATTTCCAAGACCTACTAATCTTGGAAGTCGTTGCGTTCCTTCATATCGAAAATTAGCATTGGTTATTCACCATTCACTATTGAAAGGTCTCCACTGATGAACAAAACTGTCTTTGTCTACTTAAAAGAAAGACCAAGATGAACAAACACAAATATGTACCTCCATAACCTGGAATAAATCCAAATTTCAGCTCTGGTGTGCTTAGCTGAGCTTTAGGGGTAGCAACTCGAGCATGACACGCCTAAAAAGTTAGGAGTGTACTGAGGCAGCTTTGAAGGTAAGCGGTCTACTACACTATCTTGCAACTTTTCTTATTCACTAAATA